GATCTTTTTTTTTTTAAATATGACTCGAGGATGTCAGGTTAAACTGTTCGGCCCGCTAGAAATAATTATTCAGTTGAAGTTTGAGCTAGCCGATTTCATCCCCTTCTCCGAAATTTGTTTGGATTTATTTAAATTTTATTTTTATTTATTTCTTCCTCTTCCCGCCTAAATGCAGCAAACGCTTTGAAGATGTTTGACATTTTCTATTTTCTCATTTAGTCAGTGTTCATGTTGGTTGATATTATTCATCTACATATCAATCTTTATGGGTTATTGAATGCCGAAATCTAAATGTTTTGAACGCAGTTGTATACATTCAACTACAGATAAAATGTATTGTTGGTGATTTTGCTATAAAATATGTTGTTGGTCATTTTGTTATAAATATTGTTGGTCAATTTTTATATAAAAACGTATTGCTGGTATTTTTACTATAAAAATGTATTCTTATATTTTCATAGTATTCTTTTAGGCGGGGTTGGAAGTTCACTATTTTTTCATAGCCTGGGCCCTAATAAGAGCTACCACTCCGGATCAGGGTGGACCTGGAAACAACAGCAATTAAGAGGTGTATTAAGTTACAGTCAGCGCCGTCTGTCTAACTCTCTGCATTAGCAGTGAGGAACCCGGACGAAGCTTTGCCGAAGGGCAAGGTTTCGTTCGGGGAGGTTGACAGCTCTCGAGCCCGCCTAGGCGGGTTCGAAGGCTATATTTTTGGCCGGGCCTACGGGCTCGGATGAACCACAATAAGTTCGGCCTTGTGCCACATGCAATCCCACGTGGGGGGTAGCTGAATATCACAGCAATTAAGAGGTAGTTCCACATTTCTCAAACCTCCAATCTCCTGATCAGAGACTTTGGCGCCAGAAGTAGTTTACCAGAACTATCTTCTGCTTCATTGGAACTTTAAGCAAATCAAATCTTCATATATTAATTACGACCCTCCTTTGTTCATCAAGTAAACTATAAGTGTTGACCATGTTTACCATAGTCTATGAATATAGAATACAGCGCAGTGGAAGCGTCCTGGGCTCATAACCTTTGTTAACCATGTTCACCAATTTCTATGGATATAGAATACAGTGCAGTACATAATCTGTTCAAAGAAACAACGTTAAAGATTAATACTCAAGAGTCAGATATTTTACTGAATCTGACTATATCGCCAATACCACCAGCAGCTGTTCCGTAATTCTTCAGGCTCCGATATCAAAGGCTGGCAGTGAGTATTCGGGAAAAACATGGCCGCCTTTATACACGTCGCATTGAATATTTTGAGCCTTCTGATTGGTTAACCCTTCTATTGGTGAACTATAAAATGAGTCAGCTCATTTTGGCTGGCTCACTAGTACACCAGGGTATCCAAAATTTCCAACAATAAGTGGCTTCCCAATGCTAGCTTCCCTATTCAGTAGATAATAAAATCATAGTGCTCGTGAAAGTATACACTCGGGAGCTAGTTTTACAAAGTAATAGTACTGGGGAAGAAACTGGCTGAGTGGAACTTCTTCCTTACTAACGGAATAAAAAGGGAATGATGATGATGATGATTGGAAGCTGTGTACGTAACATGCGAAGTTCTGAACTGGTAAAGCTAATCATTGTGCAAATTAATTATACAGGAAGATGTGGAGAGCCATGATCACCTACACCGTTGTGCAAATTAATTGAAACAAAACGAATAATTCCGTTATTATTTACTCCTTTTTCGTATTTTTCTAATTAAACATGACCCAGTGTACATGTTAGTACTTCGTATGTCCATTCCACTAAGTCTTTCCTTGCAGATTGACAACAGATTCTCGATTGGATTTGAATCAAGAGAGTTTCATAGCCAGTCAATAGAACTTTGATTTGCTCACTAGCAAGGCTTGTCAGAGTGTTTTTTGCAGCGTTAGAATTTTCATACGTTTCCTTGGAGTAACATCTATCGCAGACAATGGCCGTAAGACAACTAATCAACATTCGCGACAATAGTGTCTGGGCGTGATAAAAATTTGATGCAATCGCGGATGATGCAATATTTTTCAAGGCTGAATTTCATCATAAATAGATTCACATTACTGCACACCACTGCAAATGACCTAACCTGAGGGTAAAAGAAATCAATTGCACCCTGTCACTCCAGTGGGTCTAAAACTGACCATATGCTAAAAGAAAGGAAACTAAAGTGATTTTTTCAATTAATTTGCACAGGGGTGTATATCGTGTGAATATCTGCCACGAAAATAGCGATAGATTATTAAAAGCCTAGCAACATTTTGTCTGTGAGAAAGGGGTTGCAGGAAAGAAAATTTCCATCACCCACAACTCCGCGTAAGCGCTTTTGAAATCTGTCAAGATTGGAAAACGAGGACTGGGGAGCAAAAACTCAGATATGGCAGCAATACTCTCTTTTTGGTCTGGTTTAATGCTTTGGCAGAACGTGTTATATAGTTTCTGGCAATGTACAAGGAACCGAGTGTTTTCCTAAGCTATTTTAGCATTTGTTTAATAAACCCTACCTCTGATATGAGTCAAATAGCAGGGTATACTGGGTTATCTAGCCTTGATTAGCAGTCACCCTAAAGAACTATTCTGGATTCAAAACCGAAGAGAAGACAACAGAAAACCACTACATTAACTTTCCCAAGAAAGCATGACAGTTCATAGATATTAAAAATGAGGAACGTGTGGCGAGACATGATCTCCTACAAACTGAAGGCTTATGGCATAAAACTGTCAAAAGATTGCTGTATTTCTTTGCTTCGTTTTTTATTATCTATCTTTCATCTTTATTTCACATACTTTATTTCTGCTAGTAGTTTTAATAGTAGTATCATTATCTTGACTTTAATTATTACATGAAGTATTGTCAACCATTATTATTTTTGACTAGGAATTCTTTCATCTTAATTTCAATTGCTTTATTTCCACGAGTAGCATTAGTAGTAATATTATCTCCATCTTATTATTAGATGAAGCATTGTCAGCCATTATTCATTTTTGACTAGAACTTCTTTCATTTTCATTCAAATTGCTTTATTTTTACGAGTAGTATTATTGCTTGTAATATTATCTTGAATTTTATTATGTATATGAGAGAATATGATGTATAAATTCTATGTATCTTTGTAAATGGTGGGCAGTTGAATGAGAAAATGGTAAAATCATAATGTAGTGCGCTTCGTCCTTCAAAAGAACTTATTCAGATTAAATAAGGTTTTTATTGATGGAATCGTGTATAGATTTCAAGTGAGGGAAGAAAATACCAAAAAATCTTGGCTAATCCACTGAGAGAAAAGTTAAAAATGTATCGACGCTTAACTTTAAATTCAACTGAGAAATTTCCGATGTCTCCAACCGAATTAATTCCGATTCCTACAGTTTCTGATTTTATCTTTATCGCTGTTCTTTTTAAGGATTCAACATTACAGTAACAGTAGTTTTGTCAAAAAAGAAGCGGACCCTAAATTTAACATGAAATATTCAGGAATTAGTGCGCTTTCTATATATTTTCGCATTAATAAATTGTTTTCTGTTCTAATTTAAAATGCAGTAAGTCGAAATTATGGTCACATCTTTTGTGATTAATGACTAATATATCCAGTGCCCTGTTTTATAAAATCACTTCTGTATTCATATAGTCTTTTATTTGAATTCCTACAAGTCTCACCTATGGATTTATTGTAACATTTATTACCGTTTATAATGCTTCAAGTTTAGGTTGATATTATTTTGTTTTGTATTAATGTCTTAATAGTTGTTACATATTTTATATTGAGATAAATTATTTGCATTTGGAGTTGTTATTGATTTGGTATGTCGTTTTATATAACTAGTTTTATCAAAATGATTTATATTCTTTATTTTATATGATAGATTGATTGGTTTGTTTGTTTGTTTAACAGCACATCAACACCTTACGACTCATTTTATACAGAAATTTAATTTTCTTGGGAGCTTTGAAGTAAAAAAAAATATTATATACGTTATTATGCTTTCACAATGGAATACATGGTCGCTGATGCTCAGCTTTTGTTTATATACATAATGACTAGAGGCGGTGATATGTGTGTGTTTTATGTTGTAGTTTTGTTGAAGTTATATTTTTGGAATACAGTTTGATTTCTTTGAGAAATTGTCGTATATTACCTAGGATAAGGATGACCTTGAACAAAAAGAAAATCAACATGGAAACTCGATCCTGGCGTATTCTTTTGATCGAAGGGGGTTCCACGCCGTATGTTTCCACCCAAGAACAGCTACTTTGCCTAACAGGCTGTGGCGAGGATTCTTCCAAAACATTAAAAACTTAACCTCTTCTAAGGTCAGTCATTTTCTAGCCTATTCTAGGTTCAGTCGTTTAGCATCATCTAGAATCAGTCGTTATCTCGCCTCTTCTAGGGTCAGTAGTTATCTAGCTTCTATAGTTATTCATCATCTAGCCTCATCTAATGTCAGCCGTTATCTCACCTTTTCTATGGCCAGTCGTTATTTAAAATCTTCTAGTATCAGCTGTTATCTATCAGCGATATCCTCGTAATATTCACTTCTGATTTTCTTACCTTCCGTCTATATCATGCACTTCATTCAGTAATCCTCTACCTTAAACGACGCTTGGGCTTTGTAATGGGTGAACTATAGAAAAAATCGTAGCTCGTACTTTAGACTTCCACTTGTTAATGTTCATACATTGTTTTTTTGCAACTGATGATCAGTCCTTTGCTTGTAATTTTTTTTTTTACTATATTAACTATGAGTTCCTAGAGTTTTGTTTTGTTTTTATTTTTTGTTGAGGATGGGAATACTGAACAAAACCCGAACGATCTAACTCGTTCGTCGAGACGCACATATGCTTCACACTCCTTTTTTTACACAGGGGTGTAGAGGTTTATGCCTTCTTTCCTGTTTAGGATTGGGTTTCCAGTTCAGTCTAAAGTATTTTCATTCAATTTCACTCCCAGTAGTTCCTTGCATCTTAGTGACATTATCGCCTTGCTTAGGGTGAACTGATTAAAAAGGCGTCATATTTCCGCGGTTACCATCTAACTCGGAATAATTAGGTCTCGTCCATATGAAAAATCTATTTTTTTTTATGACATCACTTGCAGTTAAAGTCACAAATCCCGTCTGTTAGAGACTGCCAATGATCAAATCCAATATCTTGCCGATATATTCACTGTAACCTTGCCAAAGGGCAATCCCGAGATCTAATTCCAGACTCACATACGACTGTGAATTTCTTTTGCCCTTCTCTAAAACTAATTGCCAACCATCGCTAGAGATCTCAGTCTAGGTTGGGATTTAACTCATTGCAAGGGAGAGAAATGGTGAATTCATACCTTTCTCAACGGTATCCACGCTTAAATGGATATAACGATTTCGACTGGAATTCGAACTGGGCCCTCCGATTTCTTACCCCAAGCATCTATCCATTGCACCACCCACACATTCTCATAATAAAATCACAATCAACCAATTTCAATTACAAATATTTCTAATAAAAATATTATGAGTTGAAAGACAAGTTTACCTTATATAGATATATTATGAAAATTTTTTTTATTAAAGTCCGTTTTTTAATTTCAAATTTATTGTGAAATGATTGACTTCCATAATAAAATATGAAAATATACAAAGTCTGGACATATAAAAAATTTCATGAACGATATTATTTCTTTTACTTTCACAGATGAAACATGATTTTGTCGAAAGAAGAAGTAATTGGCTTCTTTTTATAGGGTATGTTAAAAGAGAAGCTGTACTCAATGAAAATTCACAGATGCAACAGATCAAGAGTGAATGTGCTAAAACAGACGGCAATGTGGAGTTATTGCATCGAGTTTATTGTAAATCTTGCAAAGCCCATCAACCTTTGCATCACAAATGATGGAAATCATATTGAAGTTGTTATTTGTTAATATTCCAATTCAATAAAATGTACTTGAAAATTTAATCTCGTGAAAACATGCATTTTCGCCTATGTGCCCAAACGTTAGGGATACCCTGTATATATCAAAGGTGTTGAAAAGTTCTCGGCCTAATCCACACCGGAAAATCTGGCTATATGACCACACATCAGATTTTTTTGTGAAAGGTTTGGCTTTTTGGTGCGTACGTGAACTTTCCATCACCCAGGATTATATATTTTATATATATATATATATATATATATATATATATATATATATATATATATGCATGTGTGTGTGTGTGTGTGTGTGTATTCATGTCCTGTGTAATTTTCCCCCCTGCCCGCATGAGAGGGAAACTTTATCATTAAAAGAAATTAAGATGATGTTTATTTGCGACGTTCTCATCTCAAAGGTTATTTCGTTAACTTCACGTCAAAGCGACATTGACCCCGGGGCTCTTAGCACTGAAAATGCTCGCTGACCCTCAAGTGGACAGTAAATAAGTCATCTATACATGGCAATGATGTAAGACGATGAAGTACGGAAAGTATAGGCAAATAGGGAGTGGCGTAGCATCATATTTAGAGAAAACAGATAGATAGATAGATAGATAGATAGATAGATAGATAGATAGATAGATATGAATAGACTGGGATAGATAAATATTTTATGTACAATCTGATAGATAGATAGATAGATAGATAGATAGATAGATAGATAGATAGATGTGAATAGACTGGGATAGATAAATATTTTATGTACAATCTGATAGATAGATAGATAGATAGATAGATAGATAGATAGATATGAATAGACTGGGATAGATAAATAGTTTATGTGCAGTCAGATGTATATATATATATATATATATATATATATATATATATATATATATTGAGAGAGAGAGAGAGAGAGATAGAGATGAATAGACTTAGTTTATGTACAGTCTGAGATAGATAGATAGATAGATAGATAGATAGATAGATAGATAGATAGATATGAATAGACTGGGATAGATAAATATTTTATGTAGAATCTGATATATATATATATATATATATATATATATATATATATATAGATAGATAGATAGATAGATAGATAGATGTGAATAGACTGGGATAGATAAATATTTTATGTACAATCTGATAGATAGATAGATAGATAGATAGATAGATAGATAGATAGATAGATAGATAGATAGAAACTGACTGAGTTAGATAGATAGATGTCAGTGTGAATATAAAATAAAAAAAGAGATATTACCAACTATATATGTGTGTGTTGTGTGTAATGACGTACATATACAAATGAGCAAAGAAATATTTAATTTAAGGTGTAAACAAAACACTGTTCAATGTAGTTAAACAGAGCTATAAAGTATATATTAATAAATACACTTATACCTACGTTTGTAGTTTCTTGTTTACCCAATTCATCAGGCACAAACGTTAAATGAATTATTTGTTTTTTTTTTAATTCTGACTCTCATTGGAGGAACCGATATTATATGCTGATTCTATGTTCAAGGTTATTATGAATTAAATATAATATTGAGGTATAAATTCAAAATATAAAGTGCTGGTAAAAAAAAAATCATAATATATGATATAAACTTATATGGTATATATTTCCGTTAAAAAAAGATGAATAGGTATTGTGTAAAATGCCGTATAAAACCGGGGTTAATTCAAAGATTATTAGTCAGAAGGAGAATTCAATCTAAATGCAGGGGAGGGGATAGGCGCGATGTGTAATATTTTTGTTCGGTACGGTAGATTCCAAGTAATTTCTTTGTCTCGAGGAAATAACGTTGTACTGTACATAGAGCTAACGTTTAATATTATAAAATAAACTTATGAATAATCAAGAGCGGTCTCCAATTTTTTGTTACTCTCCCCTTTGAGACAGCTATTTCTGTTTACTGGGGCTATAAAAGGACACTATACGCGAACCTTGTATTCTCAGTTGAATAAAGCTTTCTTAAAGCCTATACCTACGTACTTTTGTCATTACATGGTCTTTTATATTTGAGTATGTAAGCATTTATTTTATTCGGGAATATGTAAATATTGATCTGTTATGAATAATCAATAGTAGTCTCCCCTTGTTTTGTTACTCTCCTCTTTGAGAGAACTATTTCTGTTTACTGTGACTATAAAAGGACAATATACGCGAACCATGCATTCTCAGTTAAATAAAGCTTTCTTAAAGCCTATACCTGCGTGCTTTTGTCATTACTAAGCTAAAAATAAAAAGTGTCGTTAGACGAAAAAGGATTAGAAAGTAAGAAATAGTAAAAAATCAAAGAAAATCAAAACATTACGTTACAAATAGACGATGGGATGGTGCAAGTGGGGTAATTAGTGTGTAAAAAAAATATTTGCGGCAGGTTTAATGTGGTAATACAGTAGATGTCGGATTAATTGATCTAGCCAGAATCAAAATATTTTAGAGAATTTTTCTTATGAATGCATGTTATCATAAATTCGTTTCGTTTGTTCAGCACATTAGAATTGTCAATGTGATAGAGAATGGTTATTTTCTCTAATAGACAAAGGTTACATTTTTCCCCGCTGCCCGCAAAGGGCGTAGTTTTGGCGATGAAATTCCAATTTACTACAGGTGTGTAGCTATCTGTCTTAATTTCCCAGAAAATTTTGGAGAGTGCGGTTGAATTTGAATATTGTTTATTGCTCAGTGTTATTTTATGATTGTAATACCGGCTTTCCAGTAGTTAGCAGTGGAACCAAAATAAAATTTGGTCTCGCCATTGTATTTAATGTTAGCCATGTAAATAACGCCCTTATTCATACATTTATGACTTAGTGGACAGGTACTGTTTTTTCAACAATTACAATTTTTATTAATTGTATTAATACTGTTATTGAGGTTGTTTCAATATTTGTCTAATATTATATTATTATGAGGTGCTGTGTACTGCTCGAAGATTTTGATGCAATTGTAGCTAATTTTAATGTTGTTCTTGTTGAAGATTTTGTTGAGCAATGGAATATGGCTGTAATGTTTGCGGATTACAGTAAGGAAATTTTACCAATGTTGATTTGACATTTTTGTTAAATGGTGAGTTAAACCAAATTATATTGCGTTTTCTATGCTTATGTCTGTTGTTCTTATTAAGGTTTATATATTCTAATTTAAATTTGTGTTTACTTTTTGAGGTACATCTATATATTTAGTTTTATATTTGACAAAAATAATTTTGTTGCTAGAGTTAGTTGAGAATCTGTATAGCAGTGATTCGTGCAAGTTAATTAAAATTGCTGGGGTTGGTTGAATTCTGTGTTAATGTATTCATGGTTATAAAATTCTTTAGTGAAAGGCTTGTATATTCCCTTGGATAGGTCGAAAGTGGCGTTCAGAAAGTTAATAACCTTGGAATGGGTGTTAGTAGTGATATTTAGTCTATAATTTTTGAAGAATTTGATAACATGTTTTCTAAGTCGATCTGTTTGTTATGCGTTGGTATTACGTAGGAGGATAACTCCTTCATCTCTGTATAGACCAGTGTTCTTGCTATCAAAGTATACCTAAGTCTCCACCGTTGTAGTATACCAACCAATTCACAAGCTTCTGAAGGATCGAACGCTCCCATCGCTATGGAGAAATTTGGGTTGTCTTTTGTTTTTGGTTCACATAGAACCATCATGTAATAGCAGATCGAGACAGATTGCGTAATATTTTTCAAAAGACCCCTGCAAGAGACGTAAACTATCTACTATATTGGCCATTATGGTAATGATCGTACAGTATTCAGTCTTCTTCAGTGAAGCCTCTATCATTCAACTGATTAATTTTTGACGTGCGTTTCTTTCATTTTACTTTTAGATGCTTTTTATGAACCTATTATGACAAGACATGGATAATAAAACTGTTATACTGTGACAAACGAAATTTGTTTTTTTGTTTTGTTTTTTTTAGAATTTAATCGTCGTCTACTGTTACGTACGACGGATAGCAAAAAAAATATGTCCACCGAGTAGGGAGTTTTTTTTTTGTTTTTTTTTTCTTTAAGGATTTTCCAGATCGCCACTTGTTATGTGTGACGTATAGCAAAAAAAATAGGTCCTCCGTGTATGGAGTTCGTATTTCCTTTTTAGGGGTTTCTTCGTCGTCACTTGTTATGTTGACGAGAGATGATTTTGTTGTTTGTTCTTCACGTGAGAGTTCGAATCTTCGTCGCCACTTGTTATGCGCGACGGATAGCAAAAAAAAAAGCTATGTCCTCCGCGTAGAGAGATCTCATCCTCGTCGCCACTGTTATGGTCCGGTTCCTTGTAATACGGTGATAGTCCAAGGTAAAACCAATAAAGAAGAACTCGAATACGGATATGGAATAACACAGATATATTACAAACAGGAATATATACAGTGAAGTAGAAAGTGTTAGTACGAACAATCAGGTTTAGTAGTAATTGTCTGAATGCGACTCTTTTTCGGACTGCCTCTGATTCGACTGACTGACTCGCTCGCTCTGACTGACTGACAGACTTCTGACGGACCTCACTCCAGACTTCAGACTGAACTCCCTGCTTCCTCTTGAGGCGCAGTATTTATTACGTATGGAATAGTCCATTATGTTATTATGGGTAAGGTCCCATAACAAAAACAGAAGATAATATTACTTATAAATGATTCTACTTGCGGATATAAACAAACTATATTTCAAGATAATATTACTACATATGTACAAATGAATATAGAATAACAATCTGATTGTTTGCTATAAACAACAACTAAAATTAAGATGGAAGAAATGCGTGTCAAAAATTAATAATGGCTGACAAAGCTTCATGTTAATATTACTACTACTAATATTATTAGTGATAATAAAGCAATAGAAATGAAGACAAAAGAAATCTTATTCAAAAATTTATAATGGTTGACAGTGGTTTATCTATTAATAAAATTCAAGATAATATTAATACTAATAAATCTACTAGTGGAAATAATGCGAGTGAAATAAAAATGAAAGAAATACTAGTCAAAAAATAATAATGGTTGACAATGCTTTATTTAAAAATAAAATTCAATATTATTGTAGTAAAAACAGAACCAGTGAATAAACTTATACGAAAGCTTTATTACACTTTTCTTTGAATACTCGTCTACTGACTGATGAACAGGTTGCTTTTTATGCTTCCTAGATCATAAGGGGAGCTAACTGATGATTTATGAGTGCAATTATTATTAATAATAACCTCAGCCGGACGTTTAGGATGAAACCTGATTTAAATATAGACAAAAGAAATACTAATAAAAACTTAGTAACTATGAAATTCTGGCAGATAAAATGTAATCTCATTGTTTCAGACAATAACATCCGATTGTGAATTATCTTAATTTATTTGTATATTCAGTTTTATGGATGCTTCATTATCTGCTTTGGTCAGTCTGACTTCGACAATATATTCTATGGCAATATATACTGATGCACTTTTAACCGGAACGACGTGAGTTAATTTTCTTAATATATAACAATAGTTATATCTGTAGAAATCCGAATTCAACGAAATAAAGTTTATTGTTGTCGATAACGCTATCTCTACTGCTCACCGCTGCTTAATTATTTTTGTTCTTAACGTCTAGGTTCATGCCTCGTGATCATAAGCCATAATCCCCCACCCGAACCTTGTCAGTCAGCTCACCACCCGCTATTTCGTCTCATTCCTCAAAGACTTGAGGCGAACTTCGAAATCAACTCTTGCTGTCCATCGGAATGGCTTATGGCATTCTCAGACGGCATGTCGTGAAAAAGGTAGAGGGGTAGGTAATCTCAGAGATGGCTGGAATTGTAGAGTTTGGGGTGTTGGTGGCACGGTTCTTGGTCATTTTCAAGGTGAGGCCCAGCAAGTGAGCACTTTGACGTGATTTTGCGTACGTTGCTTTAAGGATGGTATAGCGTCTTCTTGTTTGCTTGCTGGTTTTCTGCTCTTTGTTGGTGACATCTTGGTGTCATCAGCTTTCAGGAAAGAAAGAACAAAAGAAGTTAAAAAGAAAAGGAGAGAGAACAATGGTAAGAATAAAGAGGGTATTATTTTCGTAAAAAGAGAAAACAAAGGAAGGAAGTGATCAGGAAAAAAATAGGTCTCAAAATCATGTAACTAAATTAAATAGTAGTTCCAATCAAAAGATATATTTGCGAGTTTAAGACATTTCCCTTTCAAAATGGGAATAGTGCCAATCGATATAATATTGCGCCAACTCAAAAGGAATAATTCGAAATAAAGTGAAATAAAATGTTTTTTTTCAGAACTGAATTTGATCGAAAAAGTTTTTCGTCAAATGTCGATAAATGGAGCGAGTTTGGTTTGCGAGATTCAAGTGACATTTCTCGGTCTTCAATTGACGAGAAGACGAGAAATTTTCAAGGCACGCTTGAATAATGGATAGCAGAATCGGAGAGCCGGGTTCGAATTCCAGTCGAATCCATTACATTCACTTACGTGCTAATACCGTTGGAAAAGGTATGAATCCTCTTCTTCTCCCCTCAGCTATGGATAAATAGAAGGGCAGACCAGGTTTTATAGCCTTGGATGGCAACTGGTCCACCACAGAGAGAAATGGCAACATAGTGCGGGAAAAAATCTGCCTCGTCAGTCATGTATCAAAAGATAAATGATCGCCTGAGCGTGTCTCACGCATGGCACATAACTGACTGGCCCAAAACAAACGTGTAGCTCTTAGCTAGGTTTGTGATTGTAGCATCGGACCCTTAGCTTTTGCTTATTCTCCAACACTTCAAGAATCAGAAAAGCCAATTTAACATGTCTGATCTGAAAATCTATTATCGATCTAATTTTTACAAATAATGGTTTTATAGCATTTCGTTTGGTATTGTTCCATTTGGATTGGCACCTTTGAATTTTGATTGGTACTATTATATTTGGATTTGTACTAATCTATTTTGATAGATAATAAAGGTGGAGTAAAGAATATTTAATAGACTACCCAGAGTATGTTTCCTTCAAGAATAGGTTTTATCTACCTAGAATCAAAACTTTGTTCTAAAACTCCTGCAACATCAAGTATATCAAGTAAAGGGAAATAAGTTTCATTTTAACGATTATGGTGATTTCCTAAGCGGAGCTTAGATGTGGCACAAGGCCGAAAATGTGGGACCCCCAGTGAGGATCGAACTCACTCTTCTGTCGTAATTGATCTCGCGAGAAAAGATTGCTTGCCATTATACCTCGAAGTGCCCATATATGGACTTACTGTGTTAACACAGGGCCGAAATCATGAGGCACCCAGTGAGTATCGAACTCACTATTCAATCGTAATTGATCTCGCGAGAAAAGCTTGTTAACCATTACACCATGTCAAAGTGCCCAAATGAATTTCTAAGGGTAGATTTGATGTGACACAAAGCTGAAATTATGAGGCACCCAGTGAGGATCCAACTCATTATCTAGTCATAATTGATCTAGCGAGAAAAGCTTGTTAAGCATTACACCACGTCGAAGTGTCCTAATTTTAAATGTTATGGTGATTTTCTTTGCTTGGCTTAGATGTGGTACAATGCTGAAAGTGTGGGGCGTCCAGTGAGGATCGAACTCACTACTCAGTCGTAATTGTTCTAACGAGACAAACTTGTTAACCATTACAACATGTCGAGGTACCCAATGATTTTCTAAGCGTTGCTTAGATGTGTCACAAGGCCGGAAGTGTGGAGCAACTCATAAGGATTGTACTTCCTGCTCAGTCGTAAATGATCTAACCAGAGAAGCTTGATGACCATTACATCAAGTCGAAGTTCCCTAATTTTGCGATTATGATTAGAAATGAAAATTATAAATGGAAATTATTAGTTGGAAACAAGAAATTTCTCCTAACTTACCACCCCAAGAGTTGCTGGGAATCTATATTATTTCTAGAATATCATATAAAAATACCTGATACCCTGGAGCTTAGAAAATTCGGTACTCGGACATTTGGCCGAGGGACATTATCGCCGAACAGACATTTAACCGAAAAAGTGGTGTACTTACATGTATGTCGCACTTTATCGTAATTTATATATATATATATATATATATATATATATATATATATATATATATATTCGACTCTCCGGTTGAATTCGACGTATGAGGGTCAAGCAGATCAGTTTCCAGGAAACCGACAGCAGCACATGAGATTTGATTATAGTAGTGAAGGCTTCGTGCAGGACCATCCACACTTTTTGAAGGGACGAATACAAAGACCTGGTGCACAGGATGCCACAATGTTCCCAAACGACCCTCCGCAGATTTTGAATTCAGAGTTGTCCTTCTCCTATACCAGTTGCCATCCAAGGATATAGAACCCAGTTTGTCCTGCTATTTTATATATATATATATATATATATATATATATATATATATACTGTATTAATTTATAATTTATAAGTTTTCATTTTTTGACAGGCTTTTTTTTTAATCTATTCTGTATATATATTTTACTTTAAATATTACTGTAAGATGATTAGTATTTTGAAAAAAGTATATTTTACAACAGCAAAAATCACTATCTCTCTCGCCCGCACGTGTATAAATATGAGAACGAAAAAAGGGACTAGAAGAGACAACAAAGCCCCTGTGTTTGCTAATACTCTGCTTGTCAATCTCTCTGCCTTCCAATAGAAATGAACGCAGACGAGGCTATGCCGAATGACAGTGTAACGTATAGAGAGATAGACAGCTACCCGACCCCGTGTATACGGGATCTACAGGCAATTTTTGACTGAGCCTACGGGCTCGGAATCGTCCCATGTTTAAAAAAAAGGCTTCGTGCCACATCCTGCCTTGTTGGGTGGTCTTGGATAAATACAGAGACTGCAAAAGCCATATTTAGTGGTCGTCTGAGAAAATACAGTAGTAATCTGCAGCTGAGCTCAACTAAGTAATAGACACATTACAGCACTCTCCGTTTTCTACTAAGTGCAGCAGAAGCGCCAAATTCAGACACAGTTTACATTGTGTTGTTTAACAAGTGTCGAAATCTTTCTTCGGGGAGAATAAACCCAACTTGATTTTCAGCAAGAGTCAGAGATGAGTCATCGGTCCTAAGAAAGCAGTAGAACCGAACATGATGACGCGACCGAGCCAGACCCTTTCTGAATAACAGCTGTTATATGCAAAAATACTGGCGGTAGAACCACAAACCTACAATCACACACACAACCATATCGTGACAACGTCGCACTCGTTCACCGATAGTTCTAAACTATAACCACTGGGCTAGATCAAAAAGTGTTATACCGGCATATTTGCATCTAAATATGAGGTGATGCCGTAAACCGGAAGTGAGAGCTCTATCAACTGTCCGTCGCCATATTAAAGACAGCACCTCGTAAATAAATAAAAAACAAATCAGCTCAACCAAATTTGATGTTCAGTGATGCGTCTGATATTTTTCCTATTTATAGAATTTTGTGATCAAAGTCAAAGAATGAAGAGGACAGGGGTGGGTGAGTGAGTGACTCGGGACGTTGGTTTCGTCGTAACCAGACTGAAAAAAAAAATGGTGGATCAAATTATTGTCTTCATTTTATTTGAATTTATTTTGATTTCAAGTAGCCTGAAAAAAATTACTCCGAAAGAAGAAAATAATAAATGAAAAGGCAGGGAGAAAATAGACTGAAATGAAATTAAAAAAAAAAAAATGAAAGAAAAGATAAAAAAAAAAGAAAAATATCGAAAACAAAAACAGAGAAAATAAAAGAGTAAAGAATGGCGAAAAGAAGGAAGAAAATAAGACAAAATATAAAAGCAGAATTAAAAGACAGTAAAAAAAAACAACTGAATGGATGAAAATCCGATGGAATAGAAGCGCGAAAAAAAAGAAGAAAGGAAAAAAGAAGAGAAAAGAAAGAAGGATGGAAATGAAGGAAGGGGGAGGAAAGAAGGGAAAGGAGGAGGAAACGGAAAGGAGAGAAAGGAAAGGAGGGAAATGAAAGAAGGATGAAGGAAAGAAGGGGGAAACGGAAAGGAGAGAAAAGAAAGAAGGGGGTAAGAGAGGAGGGAAAGGAAAGAAGGAGGGAAATGAAGGAAGGGAGAGGGAAGAAGGGAAAGGAGGAGGAAACGGAAAGGAGAGAAAGGGAAGAAGGACGGAAATGAAAGAAAGGGGAAGGAAAGGAGGAGGAAAAGGAAAGAAGGAGGAAACGGAAAGGAGGAAAAAGAAAGAAGGGGGAAAAGACATAGGAGGGAAAAGAAAGGAGGAAAAAGAAAGGAGGGAAAGGAAAAAAGGTACGAAAGGAAAGCTGGGAAAATAAAGAGAGAAAGGAAAGAAGGACGGAAATGAAAGAAAGAGGGAAAGGAAAAAAAGGAGGGAAAGGGAAGAAGGAGGAAACGGAAAGGAGAGAAAAGAAAGAAGGGGCAAAAGAAAGGCGGGAAAGGAAAGAAGGAGGAAAAAGAAAGGAGTGAAAGGAAAAAGGGAGAAAGGAAAGGTAGGGAAGGAAAGGTGGGAAAGAAAGAGAGAAATGGAAGAAGGACGGAAATGAAAGAAGGTGGAAGGAAAGAAGGAGGGAAAGGAAAGAAGGAGGGAAAGGAAAGAAGGAGAAAACGAATAGGTGAGAAAAGAAAGAAGGGAAAAAGAGAGGAGAGAAAGGAAACATGGAATAAAAAGAAAGGAGGGAAAGGAAAAGAGGTAGGAAAGGAAAGGTGGGAAAAGAAAGAGGGAAAGGGAAAAAGGACGGAAATGAAAGAAGGGGGAAGGAACGAGGAGGGAAATGAAAGAAGGAGGAAACGGAAAGGAGAGAAAAGAAAGAAGGGGCAAAAGAAAGGCGGGGGGAAAGGAAAGAAGGAGGAAAAAGAAAGGAGGAAAGGAAAAGGAGAAAGGAAAAGGTAGGGAAGGAAAGGTGGGGAAAGAAAGAGAGAAATGGAAGAAGGACGGAAATGAAAGAAGGTGGAAGGAAAGAAGGAGGGAAAGGAAAGAAGGAGGGAAAGGAAAGAAGGAGAAAACGAATAGGTGAGAAAAGAAAGAAGGGAAAAAGAGAGGAGGGAAAGGAAAGAAGGAAGAAAAAGAAAGGAGGGAAAGGAAAAAAGGTAGATAAGAAAAGGTGGGAAAGAAAGAGAGAAAGGGAAAAAGGACGGAAATGAAAGAAGGTGGGGAAGGAAAGGAGGAAGGAAAGGAAAGAAGGAAGAAACAGAAAGGAGAGAAAAGAAAGAAGGGGGAAAGAGAGGAGGGAAAAGAAACGAAGGAGGAAAAAGAAATGAAGGAAAGGAAAAGAGGTAGGAAAGGAAAGCTGGGAAAAGAAAGAGAGAAAGGGAAGAAGAACGGAAATGAAAGAAAGAGGGAAAGGAAAAAAGAGGGAAGGAAAGGAAAGAATGAATTAAGAGAAAAGAAGGAAAATAAAACATTGAAAGAGGAAAGATAAACAAAAGAATGAAAGTAAAGAAAAAAAACAAACTATATCGGTTCACCAATCATAAAAACTTCAATTAATTTAGTTTAAAAAAAGATTTTGTGTTGCTGTTGTTTTCATAATCAATATATACAACACCAGTTCTCAGGCATGAAATGTTATGGTGTCTGACCCTGCTTGAGTGTAATCAGGCCAGTTAGGCCTTCCGAAAGGTACTAGTCCATACATCCTGTTGAAATGGTTTCCCAGCAGAAGACGAATGTCTTGGAGCGGTTATACAATTGTTTACACACACACACACATATGTATATTTATATGTGTGAGAGAGAGAAAGAGAGAGAGGGTGCGGGAAGAGAGAGCACTCACCTGATTAAAATGACGTTTTTTTGTTTGTTTTTGTTTTATAAAAATTAAGTTTTAGAAAATGTCCTTAACTTTTTACAAAGCTCGTAATCGATGCAGTCAAGAGTACAGGGAGGACGTAAACATTCTAGAATTATATTTTAAATATATTATTTAAGTGTAATTAAAATAGTCTTGATCTTTCTTGTAATTCAGATGTTTGAGAAATTTATTCCTAATTCAGAATAAAAAAAAGTTCAAACTATATGGAAACTTGGTTAAATAAAGAAAAACTCTTATCCGCCATAAGGCTTACGGCCATATTACATCGAAACACCGGTACTCCTACGATCACTGAAGTTAAGCAACGTCGCAGCTGGTCAGTATCTAGATGGGTGACTCCTTAAAAATACCAATTCCTGTAAGCTTGTGGGTGGTGTAATGGATAATGAATTGGAAGTCGGTGAGCCGAGTTTCAATTCCGGGCGGGTTCGTTGTTTACGCGCAAATACTTTTGGGAAAGGCATGAATCCAACTCCCCTCCATCCATGTATAGGTTAATTATTAGAACTTGTATCAGTAAATCATTATTATATCAAAAAATTTCTTACAATCTAAAAATATTTTCTGGCTTTAAATAACCTACAAAAGGTTGATAAGATGTAAAAAAAACAAAGCAATCGTTTGCCATATTGTCTCTTGCTTGTGATCTGAACTTTTTTTTCTTGAACTAGTAAGTGTTATTTGGCGGCCACAATCTTAATAGAAGACCCAGTATTGATATCAGGAACAGAAAAGAAACTACAGGAAGGAAAGCGAGAAGAAAGGACTCGACGCTAATTTTAAGAAGATAGAATATATGGTTGTCAGCAAAAGTAGCAGATCAAGATACAAACTACTAAATGGAAGAGGAAAATCCGACACCGAAATCTGAAGGCCCGTTGGAATAGTGAAAGATAACTTCGAAAAGCTAAGTAAAGTATTAAGAAACAAGAAAATTTCATAAGAAACAATGAGAAAAGTAATGAAGTGTTATGTAATATCGGTCCTTCTCTATAGAACTGAATGCTGGAAATTTCCTCACAGATGAAGATATCACTGAAGAAGTGAGTTGTATATTCGAAGCAACAGAATTGTGGTTCTACAACAAGGTTTGGTGTGTTTTTATTTTACGGCATAAAAACCTCAATGGGTTATTTAATGCCGATAATATATTTTTTTTCAAAATTCTATTCCTTGTAATTGTTTTTACCAAAAAAATATATAATTGGTAATGTTTTTTTCAAAAAATGTATAGTAATATATATATATATATATATATATATATATATATATATATATATATATATATATATATATATATATATATGAAGAAAAATTTGGAAAAAACAAACCAAAAAAATCCTTAAATGCAATTATGTTGTTTAAAATGAATGAAATGTCGACGTCTGACGTTTCGGTTTAATAAACCTTCTTCAGGACAATATTCATTAAAATACAATTCAGTTCAATTTTTGATTATAATAAATATTATTATATTGGAAGAAACAATGTGAAGTGCAAAGGATGCATAATTTGATGCATTTCGAGATAGAGATAGGTAGCTTAAAGTCAATTTTCTTAAGGTGGTTCTCTAATTGTTTAATGCATTTATCAACAGGTATATTAGTATATTCTTTATATGTGCGTTACTTACGGTGCCCAGAATTGGAGTTAGAAATTTAGTTAAATACCTAGCGATATTATGAGGAGCTGAGCCTATACCCGAGATGATGGGCCTTAATGGAATGTTAGGCTTATGGGTTTTGGGGAGGCCATAAATTTTAGGGACGGTGGGGTGGTAGTTAATAAGGGAAAGCCAAATCTTATCTTCATTACATATGAGTTTCTTATAGAACCTATTAAATTCTTTTACATTCTTAGAAATATGTATAGAGATGATTCAGGCTCTCTTCTAAATAAGTTGAGAAATATTGATATAGATAACAAATCACTAGCTAGCTTAGACATCAAATCTTTATATACTAATATACCTGTTGATAAATGTATTAAACAATTAGAGAACCACCTTAAGAAAATTGACTTTAAGCTACCTATCGCTATCTCGAAATTTAAGGGCTCTTCGTATCTGTTCATCAAAATATTTAAATGATGAATTCACATATATTGAGGATACCTTTTCAAATCTTTCGTATCCGGGACAATTATTACAGAGAGCTAAAAATAAAGCGTTGAAAATTCACTCATCAGCGCAAAATGACACCTCGAAGGCCACTACAACTACATCAATGAAAGGTACACTTTCAGTTGCCTCTGATAATATTTCGTTTGGTCGCATTTTTCTACTAAATAACCATTTGACCGAACGTATCTCTCATAATCTAAATGCATTAAAAATTAGAACTACTATATTACCTACTAGAACTATCCGTAGTTTATTAAATAGCACCAGCAGACAACATATTACATCCGATGCTTGCATCTATCAAATATCATGCAAAAACCGTGACCTAAAATATGTGGGTGAAACATGTAGGTCCGTAAAATCTCGTGTTTTCGAACATAAACGAGATATTCGCCTCGGAAATTTTAACAATGCTTTAGTTGTACACACAACTAAAGCAGATCATAATTTCGATTTCGATTCCGTGAAGGTATTAAAATATTTTCATAATAAAAATCTCAGGAGGATTTATGAAGCAGGTATAATATCCATCTCACGCACGGTGAATACTAGACCTGGTTTCTTTAATATTTCCCCTTTTTTAGCGAGATTAATGCTTGCCAAGCATACACATAAAAAGTTTAGATCCTAATAGAATTATTTTCATTTTCTTTTTCATTCAAAATAATCAAAAATTTTTAGGAATACGTTTTGAAAGCGTCGCCCATGTGACGACAACGTGACCATGCTAAACGGAAAGCTGATCATTTTTAAAATTTTCAGTTATCTGTTTTGGATAAGAATTGTTTTTTATGTCCATCGTCTTTGTCAAATTGAACTGAATTGTATTTTAATGAATATTGTCTTGAAGAAGGTTTATTAAACCGAAACGTCAGACGTCGACATTTCATTCATTTTAAACATAATTGCATTTAAGGATTTTTGGTTTGTTTTTTCCAAATTTTTCTTCATTCTGTCGGATCTATATCCATTTACATTTGCTTACATATATATATATATATATATATATATATATATATTTTTTTTTTGCAAAAATGTGCAGCTGGTAATTTTTTTTTCTCAAAAATGTATTGCTGGTAATATTTTTTTAAAGTATTACTGGTAATAATGTATTGCTGGTAATATTTTTTCTTATTTATATATTGTTGTTAATCATTTTTTACAGATTATTTCTGGTATTAAAACTTATTTTTACACTTTCATTACTCTCTGAGAGCTACTGATAGCCTGCACTTCAGTACTGCCCGCTGCATTGGCAACAACCGGTTCCCCCACCAGGTTTTTCTAGTGAAGAGGTTGGCTAGACACGCGGCAGGACTAAAAACAACACCCGTCAAAAGACGGATAAACCTTGTTGTAGGGCCGGCGGCTTCAAGGCACAATGGAGCAGATCGGGATCCATAGTTATGGATGCAGGTAGTGCACTGATGAAATGGCATTTCTGGACGAGAAGCTGCCTAGACCAGCCATTCTCAAACATTCCTCCATCATTGACCCCCTGAGCTTTATGTATTTCTCCATTTACCCCCTACTTCCATACAAAAAATTCATAGCCATCATGAAGCATTGATGTACAATTTCGTGACTAAATGAATGAATGATTTTTTCATTCAAAATACTAAGGGTTTTTTTTTTTAGTCAAAATACTGTGCCTAAAAAAAATACTAAGCGACACTCAAAATACTGATTAGTACTAATCTACTAATTTTTTAGTATAAGTATAAAATTCAGTATTTTTATTAACGTTTGTAGTCATTAATGAAAAATTATTCATTTTATCCGCTGTATTAGTAAATCTACAAATTAATACTAATCATAATTATTTATTCAAAAAAAATTGTTTTTTAGTATTTTTGTTTTTGGCAATTTAAAAAATTTTTGGAAAATACTAAAAAAAAATTTTTTTGAATGAATGATTATGATTAGTACTGAGTAATTTGTGACTAAAAATTGTGCAAATTAGTCATTAGTAAAATACCAAAACAGAAATAAAAAATACTGACAAATACTAAAAATTAGTAAAAATTCAGTATTCTGATCAAAAAATTAGTAATCCATCATTCATTTGTACATCAATGTCATAAAGTGACAGAAAAAACAAGAAGGTCAGAAAGAACCTTTTTATTGTAAACAATAAAAAGTTTCTTTCTGACTTTAGGTTTTGTATAAAAATAGTATTATACATTCGTATCAAAAAAAAGAAGAAAATCAAACCTTTTCTAAACAGAAAATTATGAAGTTAATTTTATTACAAAAAATAATGAATTATTTTTTAAATTATCAGGTACTTCAATTATTTACCCCCGACTATATAATTTTTTACTCCCAAGGGGTAAATTTACCCCTGGTTGAGAACATCTGGCCTAGACTGAAGACAACGGGATCGATGGAGAATTCCTCCAACTGAATCACTGGTGCCGTGTCCATGACGAAAGCGAGCCGCCAAGTTAGAGGACATCGAGAGAGAT